CACCCACCCTATGGTCACCCGATCCAAGGCTGGCATCTTCTGTCCTAAACAAATCCTCAATCTCAACACTATGGCCACAATCTCCCCCATACCCCTACCTATCGTAGTGCTCTTAAAGATCCTAACTGGTACAATGCTATGCTAGCTGAATATAATGCTTTGATAGATAATCATACATGGGATTTAGTACCCCCCTCCCCCAACCAAAACATTATCTCCGGGAAATGGCTCTTTCGCCACAAACTTGGCCCTACAGGTGAACTGTCCAGGTACAAAGCTCGTTGGGTCGTCCGCGGATTCACTCAACGCCATGGCATCGACTACGACGAGACCTCCAGCCCGGTTGTCAAACCTGCCACTATACGCATCGTCTTGAGCCTTGCTGTGTCCAGAGGATGGCCGATTCATCAGTTTGATGTCAAGAATGCCTTTTTGTAGGGGTACCTGACGGACACTGTTTACACTGCTCAGCCCTCAGGATTCCAGGACCCTGCTCGCCCACACTATGTATGCAAATTAAATAAGGCACTCTATGGACTCAAACAGGCACCCAGGTCTTAGTACCAGCGATTTACAGGCTTCATCCTCTCTCTTGGTTTCAGTGGATGTAAGAGCGACACCTCCTTATTTGTCTACAGTCGCGGACCGGACATGGCTCTACTGCTGCTTTATGTTGATGATATTGTCCTCTCAGCCTCATCCACTGCCCTTCTTCAGCATCTCACAAAACGGCTAAAAGGGGAGTTTGCTATGACAGATATGGGTGACCTTCACTTCTTTCTTGGGATCAATGTTCAGCGGACCTCTCACGGCCTGTTCCTCACTCAGACTCAGTTCCTCTATGACATCCTCGAACGGGCCGGTATGACAGCATGCAAGCCGGTTTCTACACCCGTCGACACCCGCGGGAAACTTTCGACCGCGGCCGGCGATCCCGCCCCGGATCCCTCTCTCTATCGCTCCATTGTGGGAGCTCTGCAGTACCTCACTTTCACCCGTCCGGATATTACCTATGCCGTTCAGCAGCTATGCCTTTTCCTTCATGATCCTCGTGCCCCACACGTTACAGCAATGAAGCGTGTTTTGCGCTACCTACACGGCACACCCACCCATGGCATCACCATCTCACCCTCTCATACAGATCACATGCGGGCATATTCAGATGCAGATTGGGCTGGTTGCCCAGATACTCGCCGATCGACGTCTGGTTACTGCATATTTCTTGGCGACAATCTCATCTCTTGGTCCTCTAAGCGCCAGCTCACCACCTCTCGGTCCAGTGCAGAGGCAGAATATCGAGCCGTTGCAAATGCTGTCGCTGAAGTCAGTTGGGTACGCAATCTTCTCCTGGAACTCCGGCAACCTCTGAGTCGCTCTACACTAGTCTTCTGTGATAACATCAGTGCCGTATATCTATCTGCTAATCCCGTCAAGCATCAGCGCACGAAGCATATTGAGGTTGACATTCACTTTGTACGCGACAGAGTAGCCCTTGGTCAGATAAGAGTCCTACACGTACCTTCTTCTCTACAGTATGCCGACATATTCACCAAGGGACTTCCCTCTATAGTCTTCTCCGAGTTTCGGGATTGCTTGGGCGTGCGGCGGTCTTCATTAGTGCCGTTGGGAGCATGTTAAATATGTTAATATTATATTTAATATTATTGTATATTGGTAGCTACCATATTTGTATAGGGTGCATTAATTACAGTTTCCTATTGTCATTAGGAAACTCCTGTATATAAACACATGTAATCTCCCATAATATTGTATTTGGAAAATATTCCTTCTACAATCTCTCAAAAATTATTTACACGCTGATACTATTATGCTTTGTTAACCTTTTGAAAATTAGGATCCAACTCGACTAGTTTGGACTTGGAGCTTCTTTATCTCCAACTTATTTAATTGATTTTGATCTGATTCGATTAAGTACTCTGTATATGATTATAGTTATAGTGAAAGTCGTTTTTTATCCGATCTGGTTCTAATAAAAACAAAAAATAAGTTTAAAGAAATAAGAACCTAAGTGTCAACTCTTCACTTCTAACATTTTCCAACTTTTCCTAGTTTTTCTAATTCTTTCTTATTTTTTTCAACTCCTTCTAATTTTTTCGAACATTTTCTAATTTTCCCAACATCCAACTTTGTTTTTCTAAACAAAAAGAAGAGCGCCTTAATTAGAACGAAATAACTCGAGTCATAAATAAAACTAGTAGGGAGTATTATATTGGAATAGACAAAAACATTTGTAGACAGTTTTTATTTTTAAATTGTCACACCTACCAATTAGAATATTTCTAAAATACTCGAACAAAATTTGAAAAATCCAAAAATTTCACTGATAGGAGTACTTAGGGTAGATTCTTTTTTGTATAAGAACTCTTTAATTTTATGTAAATGAATATGCTTGGAAGCTCAAAAGTTTGACTATTTTTTGCAAAACTTGTAAATTTGTGGTTGATTAAAGTCATGTGAATCGTATCTTTTGAATGGAAATGGAACTTTGAATAACAATAATAGTGATATTAAAAAACGACAAATTTGAATACCAAATTTTAAATAAATTGAATTAAAAGTAACTTCAGTTAAACATCAAAAATCGTAAATTGAATAAAAAAAATCTTACTTTAAAATTTTGCGAATGTTTTAGTGGCTATGATAACATTTATAGTGGGATACACTTTTTTTGAATTATTTTTCTTGTTTGAATGAACAAAAAAATTATGCAATGTGTGTAACAAATGAAGTGATGTATACTAGCCTATTGTTTACATTATAGGACTCATTTTTTGAAATTTTATTTTACTCGAGTCACGGTTTCTAGTATCAAATCCGAAAGTCGTTTTCAAGGGTAAGCAAATTACTCGTTTTATACTCCACTTATACAAGTAAATTATTTCCTTATATTTTTACCAAAATTAGAAAAAATGTAAAAATGTTAAGTCTTTTTGGAACTCCTAAACTAAGGAAAGTGCAAAAAATTTTATGGGACGAATAGATAATACTGTGTCCAAAATTCTACAAAAGAAGAAGCGAAAAAATTATTTTATTTTATCAAATAATCAAAAAAAGCATACAAATAAATAAGAGTTATCGCAGGATAGAGAAAATAAATTTATACTCCGTAATTAAAATGGGAGGGATAAATATTTTTCATGAATGTCAAAAAAGAGCACTACACCCTGTTTAACTTTGCTCAGGTGAATGTGCTAAACTGTAGGATTACCTCACATAACACGTCATTAGCTAACATAATAGGGTTTCTCTAATCTCTAGGATGGGCTCACAACTCACAAGCTACTAGTTAGTAGTTACTCCCTCTCAAATCTAGCAAAAAATAAGGATTATGCTATGTGTACCCCACGATTTGTACCCCAATTTGTACCCCGCAGTTTTGCACCAACATTTTGTGTTGGTGTAAAACTAATTTTTGTTAAATGCACCAACATTTGTGTCCGTGTGAATTTTTATTAACGCACCAACACTTGTGTCGGTGTAAACCATCGAAATGTTTGTGCAAACTTGTGGTGTACAAATGGGGTATATTTGTTGGTGTAAGTGTAGCATGGTCCAAAAAATAACCCTGACTTGTTTTTTACTCGAAATCTACTTTGAAAATGCTAGATTTTGAATAAAGATTTTGTTGACCGAACTTGAAATGACTCGCTAAAATGGATCAAATTTAATTGAACTGACCGACCCGTTAAAAATGGAGTACTTTATTATGAAATATATTGTTATAAAAATAAGGTTATGAATATATTTTTTTTCTCACTAATCATTTTTAGTGTATAAATTTATACTTTCAGAAAAAAGTTTAATGATATTAGGGGTGTGCGTGAAATCCGTTGCCGTTTGACCGTTCCGAAAAATCCCAGAACCGTTTTGTAATTGTACCGATTAATTGGGACACATTTTTTCCAACCCAAATCCGTTCCGTCCCAGTATCAAATGAGACATGAGCGGGATAGCTTAAATTTATACTGATCCGTCCCGTTTGTCTCGTTTCATCTACTCTACTAATATATAATACTAATTCTAGTCTAAAATGCAAATATACTCATTCTTTATTTATTAATTAGTTAATTAAGTTAAATTCATAGGCATGAGATTTCAGCCCAAAGTTTATTAAATTTATTAGGTCACGTTCCACTCATTATTTTTTGTTGGATGGCTAGATGCATGTTTCTTCTTTTTTGAATGAAATGTGCGATTAGGACAAAGTAGGACAACCTGAATCCGTCCCGGTTTATTCCGATCCCGAATTTTGTGGGACAAACCGGGATAAGATTGCAATCCGAATCGTTCCGGACCGTTTATATATAACGGGACAAGACGTGGGACAACCTAAAATCCGGACCGTCTCGATTCGTGCCCGGCCCTAAATGATATTGCATAATTATCTAACTTTTTCTAAGAATTATGCATTTTTTAAATTCTTTATATTGATTAATATACCTAAATATTACTTTAGAATCTAAAATAAAATAATATAATAGATTTAATACATATCTTTGATATTTTAATTTTATTTAATGCAAAATACAGGTGTTAATATGAATTTAAATTTTTAAAAATCAGAGTCATAATCCGTTGGGTCGATCCGAGCCCGATGATACTGAATCATGAACGTACAATTCTTAACCCGAACCCAAATTGACCTTAACTCGAAGTAACTTGAACCCGACTTGTCCGATTTGTTAGCTCTACTCCCTCCATTCCATAATAAAAAAATTGTGAAAAACAAAGAAAAATCTCAATAGTTTTAAATCACTTTATTTAATGATTGGTATATAAATAAAAAAAAATAAAACTAGTACGGAGTTATATTTTTGAAAAACAAAGAAAAATCTCAAATATTTTTGTGTGGATAATGAAATACCAATTGCACGTACTTATATTTAAGAATAAAATATCATAAATTGTCTCTAGTAATAGGTAATTTTTTATATTTAGTTTCTACTTATAAACTATTACAATCGTAGTCTCCTATTTATTTGGTTTTTCCCCACAACTAGCTCTTGTTACTCTTACTATTTTCTACTTGTTAAATGCAAAGTTAAAACACTTAAAAGGTAATTTCTCAGCCCATTTTCTCAACTAACTCCCCCCCCCCTCAACTATGCCTCTGCTTTTTATGGTTAAGATGTTGAGTTCAGATTATCTTATATAAAAAAGATGAAGATAGTATCTTTCGGGTTCTACGAAGAAGAAAAAGAGTGCGCTTATGATTCCGATTGGTAGCTAAGGATGATGATGAGGGGTTTAATTAAGAAGACAAGTAATGAAGTACCTTCTTAACCCTGCATTTAACACGTAGGAAATAGTAGGATATATTAAAAACTATCGTTATAATATTTAATAAGTAAGGATCAAATTTTAAAAACCGCCTTTATTAAAATTACCATATTTCTAATAGTGTGAACCTTGAAAAAATTTCAGATACATCATACATCAATTTTGTACCCGAATGCATACTAAGTCAATCACCGACAAATACAGATAATCATTATCTTTGAATTTCACAGATAATTATTATCTACTCCACACGTGTTAGATATACTCCATTTGTCCCTAAATTTTTACCACCTTTCTAAAAACGAGACCAAATATCAATTCTTTTCAATTCATTTTATTTAAATATTGATATAGAAATAAAAAATAAAATTTACATATTTAAAAACTACATGAAAAGTTCTTCGAAATAAAAAGTGTCAAAAATATTTTATTTTATCAAATAAATAATAAAAACATATAAATAAAAAAAAGTATTTATAATTATTAAAAAAACAAATGTGAAGGAAAGTATTTGATCTACAAGTTGGGTATGAATTTGGTGTGTGTCCTAAAACCACTCGATTGAGATATTAGGTCCAAACAAACTCCAAACTAGTAATGGGTCACGTGGTCGGGCCCCTTCTATAGTTCACGCGTCGGTGGTGCCTGTCTACGTCACCAACAAGACTGGCTGCTACATACAGCGCTGACATGACATTTAAATAAACAAATCATTTTAAGCCCATTCACATTTGGGTCTTAGAGAAGCACAGTGAACTAAGCAAAACCCATGCAAGCTGCAGCCCAATTGTAGTTCGAAACTCGTAAGGTTTTTATATCACCAAGGCACCAACTTTTTTTTTTTGGATGTTTTTTGGCTGAAAAGTAAAAAAAATGAGAAAATATTTGGGAATTGATTTTTGTGGTCCTTTTTTCTATGTACACTCTTATAACTTGTTTTCTTTAACAAATTCTTATTTTTATTACTTATTACGGAATATCATTTAAATCAGATCAATTCATAAATACGGAGTAATTTTAAATATAATTACAATAAGATCAGATCAAACAAGATTAGATCAAAATTTATTCCATTCATATCAGAACTAATCAAATTGGGTGAATAACGCAAGCCTTTAGAGCATCTCCAACGATAGAGGTTAAAATCAAACAATTATAATGTTGTTTAACTTTTGAACAGTAAATTAAATGTCTACTTGCTCTTAAATCCCTTATTTTGCTTTACAATTTTTGAAGTTATTTTTCATTACATTTTACTACGTATTTGAGAATTGGAGAGGGGTTAAAGAATACCGGAGTAAAATTTATATATTAAAAAACTATATCAAACCCTACTCATGGTTTATAAACTCTATTTTAATTATTTTTGAGAACTTTGAAGGTTTTTTTTGGAAATGCTCTTATCTTAGTAGAGTATTCGAAACTATAAATAAGCTTATACACCCTCCGTTCTAGAGTATTTGTCTAGTTCTGATTTTTTTAGTTAACTGTTTTCAACCTTTGATTTATAATTAAATAAAATATATATTAAATATTAATTATATAAAATAATATTTTGAAAATATTTTATATAATAAATCTATTTTGTATCAATATCTAATATCATTTTTATTTAATTTGGGATAAAAGTTTGACAATTTTGACTGAAAAAAGTAAAAGTGGACAAATACTTCGAGACGAAGGAAGTACAAGCGAACATACTTCATTATTCTTGATCGATCAATTATAAAATGTTACTCGCGAATGATTTGTCCACTTTTGACTTTTTTCAATCAAAAGTGGTAAAGATGATATTAGATATTAATTCAAAAATAGTTTTTTTAAATTTATTACATAAAATATTTCCAAAATATTATTTATCTAATTAAAATATAATTATATTTTATTTAATTATAGATCAAAGATAGAAAATTATTGACTGAAAGAAGTTTAAAATAAAAAATTACTACGAGACAAAAATAATATTAAGCATAAAATTATTTCTACTTTTTTACACGTTGAATCGAAAAGACAACTCAACTGAGCCTAAAAATAACAATAACCAATCCCAATTATTTTGTTTTCATAATTTCTTTTTTCAATTTCTTTTATATAAAGAATAAATCAGACAATATATATTTTTTAAGAAAAATACGTAGTATATTTTTTAACGGTCATTAATGGAATTGTAAAAAGAATGTCTCTTTCCAGTCTTTACAAAAAATGTAAGGGTCAATGTCTTTTTGAAAATGCATAGAACTACAAGTTATTTTAAAAAAACTCGCTCATAAGTATTTTTTTTTGAAAAAATTCATTATTATTTGAAATTTAACATTGTTTTTTTAAAGTGCCGTCCCAGTCTGCAATGTGCCCCAACAGATTTTTTGTAGTTCGGCCACCACTGGTACCGGCCCGGTTTCAGCACTGATCGGGCGTCTGCTAAAATTTTCTCGCCTAAAATTCACGATTCCGATCATCAAGGGAAGCCATGGATAAGCTCTATCTCCTCCTAATTTTCGTCGCGGTGCACGTTAAGCTTGCTGCAGTCTTCTCGGAACCGACAATTGCAGCCTACCCTCCTCCATACGGACTCGACACCGCCGCTAACTCGGCCAGCTTCCACTCTTCGCCGGCCGATAATCTCGTCCCCGTTCGCCGTGAAGTCTACGGAGATGGTCGGATATTCGACATCACACACACTCTGCGCCCTGAAATGCCGTCCTGGGGATCCGAAGAGGGACTCGGTCAGTTCCTGTGGCTCCCGCAGAGTATGAAGAACGGTTCCCTGGCCAACAACTCCGAGATGAAGCTTCCCACTCACACTGGGACTCATATTGATTCACCTGGCCATGTTTATGATCACTATTTGGATGCGGGCTTCGACGTAGACACTCTCGACCTTGAAGTTCTCAACGGTAACAGTATAATTAGCTTTCGAATTAGAATTAACAAGCTTTGATAGTCACAATCATGGTGTTTAATTAGATAGCTTCAATTTGATCTGTTTGATGGATGTGGATTTTGAAAAATCTGTTGGCTTTGTTTTAATCTTATGCCCTAGTGTAGTTCTAGGACAGAATATTGCGGTAGCAGATGTTAAATTGTTTATTGAAGTGTGGACCTTATCCCCAACTGGCCTACTATGTTTCCACACAGATTCTTTTGAATTTTGTGTACTACTGCATAGTCATTATGTGTAGTTGTTGGATTGAGAATTGAATAATTATATTTAGTTGTATGCTTGCTCAGTGGTTGCTCGGATAACTCAAAACCTTCACATTTTGATAAGAAGATATTTTTCAGTCATTCTGTTGCGGTTATTGTTTGCTAAAGTGCAAATATGTATATACTACAGAGTATAAGCATAATATGCACAGAGAGGATTAGGCAAACACCGGTTAGGAGATTCAAATCTTGGCGTTCCACATATATAAACTAACACCTATGTGAAGATTCAAATCTTGACGTTCCTCATATATAAACTAACACCTATGCGTACATACCCCAGAGTATTACACACGGAGTAGCATACATATATTAGAATACATTTACATGTGTGAGCACATACAATTACTCATTATTATATAGGGGATGAGTGGGGGTGGGGGAATGATCCCATGCCCCCATTTGGAAATGCTACTGGTCTTTTGTTGTTACTGTATTTTTTAGTATGGAGTATTTGCTTGTCAATAGGATGATTTTGTTTTTGGGTCTTCGCAGGTCCTGCACTGGTAATTGACGTTCCGAGGGACAACAACATAACTGGTAAATGCATATATATGCTTCTAAGCTTCTTTGATGTTGTAGGAAGATATGGAATATGTATTATTGTACTGCTTTTCCACTGAAATCTACCCAGCTCTTCTGGGGCAATTTGTTCTTTCTCTAGTATTTATTAACTGATGTGTTGAACTTTTACTGTATATCCAATCAATCAGGTTGCCCACCCTATTTTAAAGCATTGATGAAATTCTATTTGTGAAAAAACTTCCGTTTTAGAGTTTGTCTTTCATATATGTCTGCACTAGCATTTCAACAGCAATACCCGACTTTTGTGAACTTCATTGATGTTCTTCCATTCAGCTGAAGTAATGAAGTCCTTAAAAATACCAAGAGGAGTGAAGCGAGTACTTTTTAGAACCCTGAACACAGACAGGTATGTACCTCATTTGCTCATTGGAAATTTGCCAATTTAGCATTTCTCAGAATAATACCAAGATGACTTTTAAATTGAAAATAGTCCGTCCCACAAAGCATTTCCATTTTTGAATACTACAAAGATTAAGAGAATGAAATATGTGTTGCTTAAATTTATTTAAAATAGTGAGAATCAATATGAACCAAAATATGGAAACAAGTTTTTTTTTGGGATGTATGATTAAGGGGATATGCCAAGTTTTGTGGGATGGAGGTAGTACGTCATTTTCCAACATCAAGTTTTCATGTGTATTCCTCTAAAGTCTTAATTTTATTTTTCCTCAGTTAAGACAGTTTTTTCACGGGTCATCTGGAAACAACCACTCTATGTTTTAAACATAGGGGTGTGTACATCCGACCCCCCTTATGGGCGGGAGCCTTTGAGGCACTGGGGTAATGCTGTTGTTGTAGTTAAGACAGTTTTTATCACTATAATCTCCTAGAGTTAACCTCAATGTCTTACCATCTGCACTACATGAAATCAACATTTATTCATTTTAAGGATTTCATTTCAGGCGTCTTATGTGGAAGAAAGCATTTGACACAAGCTATGTGGGATTCATGAAGGATGGAGCACAGTGGCTTGTGGACAACACGGACATTAAACTTGTTGGTGAGACACTCTCCGTGTCATTTTTACCTATTGAAGAAAAAGTATCTTTGAGAGCGGGCTGATGTTTAGCGATTGGTGTGACCGATTCATACATTCATGTGGTTTTTTGAATTGCAGGAATTGATTACTTATCTGTTGCTGCATATGATGACCTGATTCCTTCCCATCTTGTTTTCCTCAAAGACAGGGTAAGGGCGTATGTGGTTACTGGTTACTATAGTTATGTCTAGACAGACCAAAACTATGCATGCGATGTATGGAGCACTACCTCCGCCTTAAAAAGAGTCATGTTTGACCAGCACAAAACTTTTAAATATTGGTACGATGCAATTTTCATAAGTCCATGAGTTATGCATATAATTCTTAAAATTTATTTGGTGGTTTATTTAATAAAATGAGTTCAAACATGAACTCTATTTTCTGGGACGAAGTAAAAATATTTACTCATGATGTTATTGCCGATGAATAGGGATGCCCTTATTTTTTTATCGAGCATACCCGTCCTAAAATGGATTCACATTCAACGCTTTGGTCGAACTGCTTCTTTCTTTCCTCTTTTTAAAGAAAGCTTAGTACGCAATAAAATAGGAAATCCGTCACTCGTTTCAACAGCCCAATTTAAGGGATAAAAACATAGGTCCTATTTTAGTGTAATATTAATGTTTTTGTCCTATTTTCGTAGATTTCTTTATTAATTTAGTTTTACCACATAAAGAAGACATCGAAAATAAATTCAGTCAATTCTTTTCAAATGAACCAAGCAATGTATCACCCAATCGGGCCCAAATGTTGCAGGAAATTATTCTGGTGGAAGCCCTGAAACTCGATGATATTGAACTCGGGGTGTATAATGTCCATTGCTTACCATTGAGGATGCTTGGTGCTGAGGGATCACCTATAAGATGCATTCTCATAAAGTGAAATCACTTACTCTCAACTCTTACTCTTGTAAGTCGCACCTCCTTTGCGTTCTCATCACTTTTTTAGTTGCTCAACCCTCCTTTCTCATTCACAATGTATTCTTGCGCCCTTCACACCCAGTGAGGGCATAAAACTTTAAGGTGTGCCAGTACAGTTGAGGGTGCTTGTGTAGATGACAAGTTTGACCTCTTTTGGAACAGATGGAGCATATAACTTAATATGACGACACATATTTATTTGTATACATAAAAATTTAAGTATACGCAGTTTGAATTATTTATTCTTTAAAATTTCATTTTAATGCTAAATATATACTCTGGTATTGTCATCATGACCTCACTTAGCTTGCCAGACTGCCTTGACTTCACCCACCACTCAAAAGGAACAGCTCATTCTGACATGTCAGCACTTTCACACCAAAATTCTCAATGCCAAACATAAAAAGGCAGACTTGTATTCATATTACTCCATACCACTAACACTTGTAGTGCTTCCTTTCGTTAACTTTAGTTTGACCTTTGTCTCTTTGTGCTTGGTGCTGCATGAGCCGGGGTCTCTTGGAAACAGTCTCTCCATTTTCGATTAGGGGCAAGATATGCGTACACACTTCCTCTCCATACCATACAATCGTGGAATCCAATTGGGTTACTGTCGTTGTACTCCATACCACTAACATTCCATGAAGTGGTATGAACTATCTCAAGCCACTAATATGATTTACAAGCATTGTGGGAATTCTTATCTTAGAATTGAAGACAAATGTAGTAATTATGACCCTTTATCATCCACTACCTATGCAATCCACTACTATAAAAAAGCCAACACAGTTTTATTTTTATTTCACCAATCACCAAATGTGTGCCATGTGCTCCAATAACTTACATTATCTCCTGAGAATCCTTTTCCCCTGTCTGATCTTCTTGTCATTTGCTGTTATCCAACAATGTGGTTCTCAGTTACTCCCACCCCTGCCGCCGCTAGTCCCAATTCTCCCGCCCCTGCCGCCGCTAGTCCCCGGTCTAATCAGTTTCTTGGATCAAAGGATTTCAATGCTTCTCCCGGTAATTCAAAACTTCAAGAAGACCATCATTTCCGATCCGTTAGGGGTCACCCTTTCCTGGGTGGGTCCTAACCTCTGCAACTACAAAGGCTTCTACTGTGACCACCCGCCGGATAATGCCACTGCCACTGCCCTCGCTTCCATTGACTTCAACGGCTTTCATCTCACCGCCCCATCGTTGGATGGCTTCGTCGATCAGTTCCCTGACTTGGCCGTCTTCCATGCCAACAGCAACAACTTCTCCGGCGAGATTCCTCCCGGAATTGCTAAACTGCCATTTCTCTACGAGCTTGATTTGAGTAACAACAGGTTCACGGGCTCTTTCCCCACGTCCCTTCTCAACATAAAGGATCTGTCTTTCTTGGACGTCCGGTTCAACTCTCTCTCCGGCGCGGTACCTCCTCAGATCTTCTCAAAACCTCTCATTGCCTTGTTCCTCAACGACAACGGTTTCTTTCTAGGGCTTCCCGATACCCTCGGATCCACCCCGGCAGCATACTTGACCCTTGCGAACAACCAGTTCGCCGGTCCGATTCCGAGAAGCATTGGAAACGCGTCGGCGACGTTACTCGAAGTCCTTTTCTTGAACAACCGGTTAACCGGTTGCATTCCGGACGAGCTCGGGTGGTTAAGGAAGGCGACAGTCGTTGACGTCGGAGGCAACAGGCTGACCGGCCCATTGCCATGCTCTTTGGGGTGCCTGCAGAATGCGGAGTTGCTGAATTTTGCCGGAAACCTGATATACGGGCCGGTTCCGGAGGAGATATGCGGGTTGGGGAAGCTGCAGAATCTATCGCTGTCGTACAATTACCTGTCAAAAGTGGGTCCGATTTGCCGGAAGCTGATTGCGAGCGGAATACTTGACGTGAAGCAGAATTGTATTCCGGCGATTCCCAACCAGAGATCGGCGGCAGATTGCGCCGCGTTTTATAGAAATCACAACGGGCAACAGTGTCCTAGCCGTGAGTCTTGTAACCCCATTTCCTGCGGAAATCATAGCTTTACTCCAACCGTCACTAAACCAAGACCCAATAGGCATTTGCTTACATACTCTGCTTTGGCGGGACACAAACAGCCTAAATATGCATTCTAGGCTCTCACTTAAAAATACTCCGTAGATATTACTCCGTAATTTGTGGAGCCTAGAATATGCATTCTAGGTTCTCCCTTAAAAGCTATGAATGTTCTCACAAATTAAACTATAGCTCCTCAATTCTTAAGTGATGTTAGGCCATGTTTTATTCACTTGATTTGAATAGTTCTAATAGATTCTGATCCGACCTGATCTGAATATAGTTATATTTAAAATTATTTCTGATCTGATGTGAATGGAAATGATTCTAATAAGAAAAAGTAATAAGTAATAAGAATAAATTGAAGATGAAAAGCCTTAATCCTTATGTTTGTGCCAAACTTTGGAGAAATAATCACTTAAAATGCATTCCCTTTCTTGTATTTATTTTTTCTGTTTCTCTTTTTTCTTTGTTTGGACTTAATCTTTTCATTTTTCATATACATGCCAGTTTGGACAAAAATACCCTACCCTATTTTAAAATTTTCCCATATCCCACTTATGTCACGTTTTTAGTAAGAGTATTTTGAAAAAAAATCAACTATATAGTCAACCTTCTTTAAAAATGACTTTGGTGGGTGCAATGGAAGTCAAGAAGCTAACCCAATCAAAGTTAGCCATCAATAGAGGAGGTGTTATATATATTCCATCCCTTCCTAACTATTTGTTACTTTTAACTTTTTTTCGATCAAAATTGATAAGTTTTGACCTTAAATTAAATAAGAGTGATATTCGATAATGGTATAGAAATAATTTTATAAAATTTATCTCATAAGTCATTTTAAAAATATTATTTTATCCAATTAATTTACAATACATATTTTATTTATTAATAAATCAAAGATTAAAAATCACCTCTACACAGAGTTATGGTGGGACAAACATTGAGAAGCAATATCAAATGTAACCATTGATTCACGCTGAATTAATAGATTCATGCAGCATTATAAGCTCTCAATTCATCCAGCAGACTACTCAAACCTGAGCAAGACGATCCTTCTTCATCATCTATGGCCTTCCGTGCCAAGGCTTTCAACGCCTGTGCTCTGCTCCTCATCCCCTCCGATTCTTCGCCGGCCATCACTCTCCGGATGCCCTCTGCAATCGCATCTCTCTTCACCACACCCTCCCATCTCGTCCACTCCTTCGATCCCACCCCTACTCCCGCCCGAAGAATCTCGGTCACCAGCTTCTCGTTGAGGAATTGATCCGCAAAGGCAGGCCAGGTGACCATGGGCACGCCCGCACACACCGCCTCCAGCGTTGAGTTCCACCCGCAGTGCGTCACGAATAAGCCCACCGCTCCGTGCTCTAGAATCAGAAGTTGTGGGGCCCACCCTCTTATGATCAGCCCCTTCCCCTTCATCCTCTCCTCGTACCCTTCCGGCATCCATTCCTCTTGTTTTTCTTCTTCTCCTTCTTCTGCCTGCGGGTTCTTTATGACCCATAGAAACTCCTGCCCGGAAGCTTCAATCCCGGCTGCCATTTCTTGGAGTTGAATAGGGGGGAAACTCGCAATGCTTCCGAAACAAACGTAAACCACGGAGTTGGGTTTCTTGGTGTCCAGCCATTCCATACACTTTCTCGCATCCATGGATGGTGTCTTCCCTCTTCCGGCTTTGTCCTCGACGTCCCCGTTTTGGAGGGAAAGCGGCCCCACAAACCACGACCTTCTGCCGAGAACATTCCTGTAGTGCTCCGCATAATCGGGTTCGAGCTCGTAGAAGCTGTTGATGATCACCCCGTAGCTGGTTTCTTCTGACTCCCAAACTTCCCTCATGAACTCCGTCATGTAGGCCCCATCATCACCGTCGCCGCCGCCGGTGTCATGAGGAGAAACATGCAGCCTTGTGAGCTTCACCTGGTGCGGAAGATCCGGAATCGTGAACAGTTCTGAATCGGAGGAAACATTGTCGAACGGCCTGTGGATTCTAAGGCTGTACGTAGCACACAGAGAAAAACAGCACGTTCCGTGGAAGACGAGCCTCGGGATATCGAACTTGGCGGCAGCCACTGTAGCCCAAGGGAATAGCATGTCGGCAACCAGGCAGTCCGGTCGGAGCTCGTCCAAGAGCTGTTCCAAGGGTTGCTGGAGCATACCGCAGGCCTTGATGAAACTGGGGAGTGCGTCCGGGGAGGGGAGCTGGTCGAGGCGCTGGCAGTTCTCCGGCAGGCCAACCTGGATGCCGGGGAAGTCGATGGATCGGATCTGCATCTGGTGCCCCAACTGGGTGTGTTTCTCTATGGCTTTGGTGAAGAGGGTCTGGTTGTAAGGGGTGGTGACGACGGTGGACTTGACCCCCCGCCGTGAAGCGAAGAGCTTGGCCATGTCCAGTGTTGGAATCATGTGGCCGTGGGCCATCATTGGGAAGAACAAAACGTGGAGATGATCACCCATGGTGGTAATGCCTGGCTGGTTCTGTCTTAGCTGGTCCGAAGCTTCTTTATAGAGTAAGCCCAATCATCTGTGCCAATTATTGTTGCTGCAATTTCTCCTTTAAGAAATGGTGAGATTGGTCCATATCGATCATGACCTATGGAAAGAGTTTGTGCATAACTTGATAAATGTGATAAAGATGTGAGAGGCGACACGAGCAAAGTGGGGTAATGAAGCGGTAGTGGAAAACCAACCAGTCCACTAAAGCACTTGAATTAATTGGTGTATACGTGCATGGGTAGCTCAACTTGTATAAGGAAATGATGTCAATTGCGTTGATTCTAGAGTCGAATTCCGATAGTGGCACTGTGGTAGTTCAATTATTTCTAATAGCTGTTTGTGCGCATTGGGCACGGGACGACCTCTCTAAGGACCAAATTGAGATTTCATCATGATTTACCCTCCTCACAATCTTATCGGGTCGGGGTGTGGGACGCCTGGAGCGAGAATCGGCGTTCCACGTTTTTATTGGGTAGTGTACGGGAATCATTGATGTGTACAGTGTACTCCACCCTTCTCAAATAAACCTTATCAAGCTTAACTTTTACGAATTTCTAAAAAAACAAAAATAAAAAACAAAAATGAATGGCTAAAACAGTAAAAAGTATTTAGACGACACAAAGTTATGGTGAACCACAGGTTGTTTAGTAAACAAAGGAAATAAGGTGGAAAATACTTTTTTAAAATATTTAAAATGAAAAATTGGATAAAAAAATTGGGATGCAAGGAATATTAAACTCAAGAATAATAATGCACGGAAGAGTAGTATACGGAGTATAAAGAAAAAAGGATAAATTTGTGGTTTAGAAAAAATGAGTCCTTCTTTGGTGCATCTTGGGTGCATATTATTTTTGTGTACCTTCTCACCTAAAAGATATTTTTTTATTTTTTAATTAAAAATAAATAAATACTTATTTAAATAGTTAAGAAATAGGGGTGTAAACGGACATTAATTGGATCAGATGTGTCATTACTAAATTCGTATCCGTTTATTTTTGTCAGATATCGAATTCGGATATGGATCTTGACGGATACTGAAAATCAAAACCATATCCGCATTCGTCGGATATCGGTCAGATATCGAATATATCCGTATCTGTTTCTAATTTTTTAAACTAAATTAAACAATACTTTAATTTTCAATTAAACTAAATCAAAATATTATTAAATCAACCATAATTTTTTATGGGACAACTTTTTTCTTTATTTATAGTTTATGATATTCTATGATGACTTCGTATCATAAAAAGATATATACAGTACATATATACACATATTTTTATATGTCTACAAACATTTATGTGTCTACACATATATTTTGCATATAAAAATGTCTTATATTTTGAGATATCAATAGAGCCAAAATATAAAAATAAAAAATTAAGATAAACTATATATAACGGATCGGATAAACGGATAACCAGTTATTTAAACGGATGTCAATGCGGAGCGGATTATAAACGAATCAGACGTATGATTACCAAATTCGTATCCGTTTTGTAATCAGATATTCTTAACCGGATATGGACAATAATTGCTTTTAATGAATGCAGATAATTTTTATATAAACGGATACGGGTGCGGACGGTAATCAAATTTTTGGTGATCTATTTACAACCCTATAAAGAAATGCTAATTTTGCTCCTTTGTAGGTCCATAGTGGAGCTTAGTCTACTACTCCCTCTGTTTGGAAAAACTTTTCCCATTTGATTTGGAGGCAAAAATAAGAAAGTGTTAAATTATAGTTGATTTCCAATTTTGCCCATGATGTGATGGGTAAAAGTAAGATGTGATGGATAGATTATTAGAGAAAAAGTATGATGTGATAGGTAGGGTATGAAAAAGTAAGGGTAAAAGTGGTTTTTTAATAGAAAGGGGAAGTGTTTTGTTGGAAGTGAAAAAAATGAAAGAGGAATTGTTTTTGAGAACGGAGGAAGTATAAAATTTGCCTAGAAAAATGGACAACAATGTTATCACTCTTTTCAAAATTTATGTAAAAAATCCCATGGTTTCAAAATATTGTACACATACCCCCATCAGATTATTTTCCATTCTTTTTTTTTCTAGTTTTCTCTTTGCTTCCCAATGGTGTAAATTTCCTCGCAAACAAACTACTCTAGACCGGGTCTAGGGTTGTTTGTTGAGTTTAGATACTAAAGGGGTACAAAAAACAAAAGTTGGTAGGGAGGACTATATGTGGGAATACATGTAGTCCAATTGCTATTAAATATTGGAGTTGATGGGTGTAATCCACTCAGGCCTTGACTTGGGTCGGGACCAGCCAAGACAACCCGGCAAAGTCCAGGTACTATTCATCAGGGTTGTTTGGGTGAATTTGTACCCTGCCCGGGTGGGGTTCAGCAAGACCACCCGAGCAAGGTCCAGGTACTGTGGAGCATGATTGTTTGGGTGGATTTGTACCCTGCTCGGGTGGGATTCAATCAAGACCACCCCTGGCAAGGTCCAGATACTATGCAGTTGGGTTGTTTGGATGGATCTGTACCTTGCCCGGGTGCGGTTCACCCAGACCACTCAAGCAACTAGCATGACACTGCATGGGAATCCTCGAGTGATCAGGCGTTCCTTCAAGAAACCACACGGGCAAGTTTTTGGGACTCATACTGGATGGTTAGTTTTGGCGTACATGTGTCGGTAAGAATAATCCAAGCGTGGTTGGACGGTAGCCAGGGGCGGATCTAGTTCAATGGAGTAGGGGGGAAATGCCCCCAATTAGTTTTTTTTGTAATAAGGTAAAAAAATGAAAAACTTAAAATTTTTATGTATATAACTATATGTGCCTCCAACAAAAACTAATGTGACCCCATCTAATTAGGCTAAATTTAAATTTTTTGTTAATTTTTTTAGTAAAGTGTGTTTTCTTACATATAATTAATTTTTTAAAAAATAAAATTTCACATAACCTATTAGAAATGATTTACATTCAATATATGTTTGAAAATAAAATTTATTAATTTTTGTCATTTCAAATAGTCTACCAAAAAATTTGGGGCGCCACCCCTGGATAATAATGTCTCTATCTAATTGAATTTTTGGATTCGCCACTGACGGTAGCAACTGAAGATCACGAAGAATATTTAGATATTCTCGTCCAAACATTACACGCCAAGAGAAGTGTCATCAGTACAAGCCGACAAATGAGTAGGACAAGCATTACGTGGTAAGGGAAGTCACCTCGCACCGTCCGGGAACGTGGACCGACATGGGCATTCTTTGTCTTGAACCATATGCTCCACTATAAATAGCATTGTAACCCTAAATAACCTTGTGACCATGTGAGCATTCATGTTTTTCCACAATTAGGATAAGATTTTTCTTTTCGTGCATTGCACGGGTGATGCACTAGTTTGATATAGAAATTGATTTTTATAATTTTGCAAAGGCCATGATGTTCACCCGAACCCATTTCTCATACTAACTTTTGTTTTTTCTTCTTCATTCTTCTATGTCCCCTCTTTTTAAATTCAATATATAAATTAAAGTACTGATTTGTTAGTGTTTTTTAGGGCTATAGCAGAGATTCGATGCCCACGGTGATTTACAAAAGAGGATCAATGCATACTCCTCAATCATATTAACCATTAGTATGCATGCACATTCCTTTTTCTTTCGTTTTTTCTATGTTTTCTTTATTTTCTTCTTTTTTCTTTGATTATTAAATCAAATCTCAACATAATAACACACAATAAAACATCACATATTATTATGTTCTTCTCATAATCTTTAAAAGGTTTACAATTTTAAAAATCACTAAAATATAGGCATTGCAATTACTATGTAAAATATAGACTTATTTTGATAATTATACATTATTTAAGGATTGAAACACTCAGACAATGACATATTGACAGACTCATACATTTAAGGATTCATTGTCGTTATTGACGTTGTTATTAATTTGTTGTTATTATGCACTGTAAGCTCTCAAATCATCGAGGAGAGCACTCAAGTCGGAGTAAGAAGACCCTCCTTCCTTGACCGCCTTTCTCGCCTTTTCTTTCAACGCCTTGGCTCTGCCCCTCATCTCCTCCGACTCCTCGCCGATCATCACCCTCTTGATCGCCTCCGCAACCGCTTCTCCCTTCACCCCATCGCTCTCTGACACCGTCCACTCTTTCGAACCCACTCCTACGCCCGTTCTCAGAATATCCGTCACCATCTTCTCGTTGGCGAACTGCTCTGCGAGGACGGGCCAGGTGACCATGGGCACGCCCGCACACACCCCTTCCAGCGTCGAGTTCCACCCGCAGTGCGTCACGAATGCGCCCACCGACCCGTGGTCGAGAATCAGCACTTGCGGGGCCCACCCTCTTATGATCAGCCCTTTCCCTCGCGTCCTCTCCTCGAATCCTTCCGGCATCCATTCCTTTTCCTCCTCCACCGTTGATCTCAACACCCAGATGAATTCCTGCCCGGAATCCTCGACCCCGGTGGCCATTTCCCGGAGCTGAGAGCCCGAGAATTTCGCAAGGCTCCCAAAGCAAATGTAAACGACGGAATCGGGTTTCTTGGAATCCATCCATTCCAAGCATTCTTTCTCGTCAATGGCGGGCATCTTCCCTATTTCGGCTTTGTGCTCCATGTCCCGCTTTCCTAGAGAAAGCGGCCCCACAAACCAAGACCTCCGACCAAGAACATTCTTGTAGTGCTCCGCGTAATCCGGTTCGAGCTCGTAGAAGCTGTTGAAGATGACCCCATAGCTGGTCTCCTCCGTCTCCCAAATTCGTTTCATGAACTCCGACATGGCCGAGTCATCATCTCCCCCGTCGTCGCTGCCTCTGCGTTCGGACGGTGGAACCTGCAGTCTAGTGAGACTCACCCGGTGCGGAAGACCAGGAAGGACAAACGACTCCGAGTCAGAGGAAACGTTTTGGAACGGCTTGTGAGTTCTGAGGCTGTGGAGAGCACAAAGGGGAAAACACCCGATCCCGTGAAACACGAGTCTCGGGATGCCGAACTTGGCGGCGGCCTCCGTGGCCCAAGGGAAGAACATGTCCGCGACCACGCAGTCTGGGCGGACCTCCTCCAGGAGCTGCTCAAATGGCTCCTGGAGCAAAGCGCATGCCTCGAAGAACCTGGGAAGTTCTTCGTCGGAAGCGACCTGATCGAGTCGCTGGCAGTCCCCCGGCAAGCCGACCCGGACGCCGGGGAACTCCGGGAGGAGACGGATCTCGATGTGGGTTTGTGTTTGTATGGGTTTGGAGAAAAAGGGTTGGTTGTAAGGGGTGGTGACTATGGTTGACCTGACGCCATGGGAAGAAGCAAATAGTTTGGCCAGGTCCAGTGTTGGAATCATGTGGCCTGGGGCCATCAACGGGAAGAATAAAACGTGGAGTTCACGGCCAGTACTCATTGGAATTCTTTTAGTTAAAAAAGAAGAAGTATTATTTGGAATTTTATTTATAGTTGGTACGGAGTGACAAATGGACGTACTGCGAACGCATATTTATAGTACGACGGTGAAAATAAAAGTCTCATCGGGTGGCGTCATCAAATGACGATTGTCCACAAATTTGTAGCGCTAAGGGCTGACGAGTGGGGCTTAAATAGGTGTGTCAAGTCAACTCCGGAAGAAGATTATGAGACAGATGGAATACCCCGGGTACTTTTGCTGTAGTGCAGTGCAAGACATTTTCTTTTTAATTAGAGGAATCTCTAGAAGTTTGGAAAATGTGAATCGACGACAAGATGTAGTGCTCGAAAACAAGTAGTTTCGAAACAAATGCCGTCGCACATCGCCGACGATTGACTGATCACACCGATATATTTTACAGTCTTCACTTTTTCATCAGTACCAATGCTTATTCTTACACCACATGACATTATATTTTTATTTTAGTCTTAAAAGACTAATAACTCATATTTTGTTATTTTCATACGAAGTACGGAGTATTTTTTTTACTCCTATTTGAAGAGATTTCTTTAACACTATGTTTGGTTCAAGGAATTTGGAAGAAAAAAAAAAGAAAATGGTTTTCTCTCATTTTCCTCACCAAAATGGAAGGAATTTGGTTTTCCCTCCACTTGGTACATTTTGCCTTCTCATTTTCTTTTCCTTTCACTTTTCCTTTCTTTTCCCTTCTAACCAAACAAGAAAAACAGTTTTCCACTTCATTTTCTTTTCTTTTCCCTTTTAAATTCCTTGAACCAAACATAGTGTAAAAGATGGGAGAAATGTTTAATACACGTCTGTATTTGTTAACATATGCCGAATGTTCTTAAAACATACTCCCTCCGTCCCGCTATATTCGTCCACTTTTGACTTTTGGAACTGTTTATTTAAGCACTTTGACTCATCAAATTCTCTCAATGTGTAAGCTTAAATATAGTCATGTGTGATCTTGTTTGATTTGTCTTAACATATAGATTATTAATATATAATTTCTATAATTTTTTAATATACAAATTACAAGATAAAGTGGATTAAAGAAGTGTATTGGATGGTGTGTAAAAATGAAAGTGGACAAATACTCAGGGACGGAGGTAGTATACTAAAAGCGCATTTTATATTCAAAATTTGTTTACACCGTCTAATCGATTGGGTATTTTCTATTTGGGTTATTCCGTATAATTTAACGTTTACTAAATAAATACTCCCTCCGTTTTTTAAAACCCTTCCTCTTTCATTTTTTTTGTTTTTCTTAAAACACTTCCCTTTTCTATTAAAAAACCACTTTTACTCCTATTTTTTCATACCCTACTTATCACATCATACTTTTTTCACTAACAACTAAACTATCACATCTTACTTTTACCCATCACATCAAGGGCAAAATTGGAAAGTCAACTATAATTTAACACTTCCTTATTTTCCCCCAAAATCAAAAGAGGAACTCTTTTGAGAAACGGAGGTAGTATTTCTTATGTTTTTATACTTAAATAAATATTGTGATATCATTTTACAGTACTTTCTAACATTATATATTGACATGGCTATAGAAAGTCTTGATATAGAGCTTTTGGATCTTGTTTAAAAACAACATTTTTTATTATGGTTTTAAATAAAATTTTAGGAATGTAGATGAATTTTTGAAAAATGTTAAAATGAAATATATACCCCATTTTCGTATCAAATTAAATAACCACGTGTCATTCAGTAATTGGTTAAGGGGAGATGACTATGAGACATTCTCTATGAGAGATGCACAGAAGCAAACGGCATGACTTTCCGGTGGGAAAAGAAGACATTTCTTTGACATTGGCATATAGAGGAAACACTCATCTATCGATAGGATAGGAATATATTACGGAGAAATTTCATTTTTTTAAAAAAAGTGAATTACCTTTACACCTGTTTACTCATTATTGAAATGACAAGTATGTTAGGGATAATAATGATAACGCGGATTAATCAAGAATCATGTATATTGAAATTGAATATTTTAGTTGTTCAATCCAAAATTCAATCGAATAAACCTCGAAAGTAACAAGAACGAGTATGTGATTGTTGTGAATTTTCGAATACTTATTCGACCGAACGGTACCGTAACCGTGTCCACCACCAGTATTCATCTCTCCTTGCGTATTCAACCACTTTTGATATACAACCAAATGCTATGAAAGCGCAAATTAATTAATTATCAAAATGGCACATGAACTACGAGTAATTAATTAAGAGATGAACCAGAGTCTCATGCTCAAATTCTTATTCATTCATTTACAAAATAATCAAGCGTTTAATTATAGTGGATATGTGATAAAAGTAAGGATTGAGATATGAACTAAGTCATTAAGTTGAACCATATTAAAACTTTGACGTAAAAGTTTACAAACTTATTACAATTATTTTTCGTTTGAACTTTCAATGTGAGATTATATGACATGCCATCATATATATTGATCATAATAAAGTTTATAAAAGAGAAATCTTCACACTTTAAATTTATAATGTCCAACCCCTTTATTCAGTTTCTTGTAGTGAGGTCCTTCATTTTGTATAGGTAGGTGGTTGGATGTAAAAAAAACAAAACAAAACACAAAGGAAAGTTGACAAAGAAATAAAATGTGTCATGTGTGTGATTGGAAAAGGGATTAGTTATTCTTCCAATCATCACATTTCGTTATTAAATTGATTGGGTAATTCTTAATTTGCGTGGGTAACTTCTCAATTCATCAAGCAAATCACTCAAACCCGAGTGAGAAGACCCGCCTTCCTCGACCGCCTCTCTCGCCTTCTCTCTCAGCGCCTTGGCTCGGCTCCTCATCTCCTCCGACTCCATCACCTTCTTGATCGCCTCCGCGACCGCTTCTCTCTTCACCCCGTCACTTCCCGTGTGTTTCCACTCCTTGGATCCCACCCCTACACCCGTCCGAAGAATGTCCGTCACCAGCTTCTCGTTGATGAACTGCTCTGCAAAGACCGGCCATGTGACCATGGGCACGCCCGCACACACCCCTTCCAGCGTCGAGTTCCACCCGCAGTGCGTCACGAATGCACCCACCGACCCGTGGTCGAGAATCAGCACTTGCGGGGCCCATCCTCTTATGATTAACCCCTTCCCTCTCGTCCTCTCCTCGAACCCTTCCGGCATCCATTCCTCCTCCTCCCCTGTCCCCTCCCCTATTTTTCTTATCACCCAGATGAACGTCTGTTCAGAAGCCTCTATCCCGGCCGCCATTTCCCGGAGCTGAGAATCCGTGAAGTTTGCAAGGCTCCCGAAGCAAACGTAAACGACGGAGTCGGGTTTCTTGGAATCGAGCCATTCCAAACATTCTTTCTCGTCCACTGAGGGGGTTTTCCCCCTCTGGGCCCTGTCGTCTGTATCTCTGTTGTACAGCGAAAGCGGCCCCACCGACCACGATTTTCTTCCAAGAACCTTCCGGAAGTGATCCGCGTAGTCCGGTTCGAGCCCATAGAAGGTGTTGAAGACCACCCCATAGCTCGTCCGCTCTGCCTCTCTCAGTTGGGATATGAACTCCGCCATCGGAGCCTCCGCCTCGGAACCGATCTCGCTTCGGTCTTTCCGTTCGTACGGAGAGACTTGCGACCGCAATAGCGTGAGCTCGTGGGGGAGGTCGGGAATCGTAAACGCGTCCGAATCCGACGCAACTTCGTCGAAGGGCTTGTGGGCTCTGAGGCTGTGCATGGCGCAGGAAGACACGTGGTTGGTTCCGTCAAAGATGAGCCGCGGGATGCCGAACTTGGCAGCGGCGGCGGTGGCCCAAGGGAAGAACGAGTCCGCCACGAGGCAGTCGGGGCGGTGCTCTTCCAGGAGCTGCTCGAGGGGTTCCCGGAGCATGGCGCAGGCCCGGAAGAAGCGGGAGGCCGCGTCGTCGGAGGTGATCTGGTCGAAATGCTGGCAGTCGTCCGGCAAGCCGACGTCGGCGCCGGGGAAGTGGAGGGAGAGGGTGCCGATTTGGAGGCCGAGCTGCGCGTATTTACGAATGGGTTTGGAGAGAAGGGGCTGGTTGAGAGGGGTGGTGATTATGGTTGACTTGACGGCGGCGCGTGAAGCGAAGAGCTTGGCCAGGTCTAGTGTTGGAATCATGTGGCCGTGAGCCATGATAGGAAAGAAGAATACATGCAGCTGCTGCTTATGATCATCACCACTCATCATCTCCATTATATTAAAAGCTCAAAATAATAAACTTACTCTTTTAACTACTCCTGTTGGTATTCGTTTATTCATCTAATTAAAATGGCGGTCTTTAGCTTTTATACGGAGAATGAGTAGTGTAGTAGAAGGGTAGCTGTCTTAACTCTGTTATGAATAGATAAAAGTCCTCCGTTCATTTAAATCCTTCCCTTGGAAAGTGTGATTGATTTTCCAATTCTGCTCCTGATGTGATAGGTAAAAGTAAGATGTGATAGTTTGGTTATTAGTGAAAAAGTATGATGTGATAAGTAGGGTATGGAAAAGTAGGGGTAAAAGTGATTTTTTTAAAAGAAAGTAGAAGTGTTTTAGATATGACAAATTTACCAAAATAGCACTAAAACATAATGACTTTTCTTTTTTGTTTTCCTATATAACACTTTTAGTCATTATTCAAATAAATGTTCACTATCACTAGACATTATTCCTCATTCTAGACATTATTAAGTGTTATTTAGAAAATAAAAAAGTTTAAGTATTACATTGGAAAATGACTTATGTTTTAGTGCTATTTAGTGCAAATATTTCATAAGATATTACTCCGTATATATATACGGAGTACTAATAATTAGTTGGAATAAAAAATACTCTCTCCGTTCCGGAATTATTTTCAAAATCACGGTAACTTTTACTTATTTCTGTACTTTCATTGATTATTTGATAAAATAAAACATTCTTGTCAATACTTATTTTGTAGAAATTTGGATATAGTTTTTAAATACGTAAGTTCTATTTTTTATTTATATTCAAATCTTTAAATAAAATGAATTGAAAAAATTTAAAATTTTATTTTGTTTTGCATAAAATGAAGATAAATATGAGACAAAGGGAGTAGATTTTATAGAAATCACCCTAAATAAGACTAAAACATAGAAAAATTACCAAAATAGAACTTCCATATCATGTTTTTATTCCCGAAATAAGAGTTCGCACGGTGGTAATGTGGCACTGTACACGTGCACATTACTATACTTTTTGGTAATGTACATGATCACGTTTGGTAATGTAAATGCATTTTAACTCTTATTTCGAGAATAAAAATATGAAAATATTATTTTGGTATATTTTTCCAATGTTTTCCCTTACTTTAGGAATAGAATTGTTTTTTTAAGATGAATCCAAAATGAAGTAGAAAGATTTTTTTGAGACGTGGGACTACTTTGCAGAGTTTAAGACCAAAAATAGGATAAATACTCTAAACTAGTATCACACCCGTGCGTTGCACGGGTCATTTTTATGTTATTAAATTCAAATCATTTTTCAATGATAAAAATGAGATGCAATAAAATATAGAGATTATATTATTTTAAGGTAAAAAACATCACTATTTTACAAATTTCGAAAGACTTCTTTATAGACTACATTATTGTACAATTTGTGGGAATATTTATAGTGTATTTAATTGTAATAAGCTATAGGCTATTATGATTATAATTATATTAAGAAGGGTTAACTTTTTCGAAATTGGGTGTATAATTATTCTTACCATAATTATTTTTTCGAAATTGGGTGTATAATTGTATAACTTACCTTTTTAATTATTTCCAATTTTCAAAAACTTACTCTTTGCATTTGTATAACTTACCTATATTTAAAACTTACGTCTTGGATTTGTATAACTTACCTTTTTTAATACGGTAATTATTATAAATATAATAATTATATTAACTTACGATGGCTTACCATTTTATATTACTCACGTTAATTATTATAAAAATAATTATATTAACTTCCGATGATTAGAAATGATAGTTACTTATTCTTACAATAATTTTAGACGTTTCCAATCAGTAGTCCAAATAACATTGGTTAATTATTAACATATAATACATTGATTCCAATTTTATTAGAAACTTACGCTCTGCGATTTTATAACTTACCTTTTTTAATTATTTCCAATTTTCAATACGTTAATTATTATATATAATAATTATATTAACGTCACGCTTACCATTTTATATTACTCACGTTAACTATTATAAAAATATTAGCTATATTAACTTCACACTTACAATACGTTAATTAATTATTATAAAAATAATAGCTATTATTATATTTATACGTTTTTCAATAATTATAAATCCACAATTTCGGCCAATTACCATTTTAACATCACAATTATTTACTTACTTTTTGGCCATTTTATAATTATTATAAATATAATAATTATAATAATTACTACTACAATTTCGGTCACTACAATTATTAACTTACTTTTTTAATTAGTTGTAATTTTAATTATTATATTTTTACCTTTTTTTAATAATTATACCTTCAGAATTTCGGCCACTTACCATTTTAATTTTACAATTATTTACTTACCTTTTCCCCATTTTATAATTATTATAAATATAATATTACAATAATTATTACTACAATTTCGACCACTACAATTATTAACTTAACTTTTTTAATTATTTCCAATTTTCAATACGTTAATTATTATATTTATACCTTTTTTTAATAATTAGAACTTCACAATTTCAGCCACTTACCATTTTAACTTCGCAATTATTAACTTACCTTTTGGCCTTTTTGTAATTATTATAAATATAATAATTATAATAATTATTACCGTAATTTCGGCCACTGCAATTATTAACTTAACTTTCGGCCATTTTAACTTACCTTTCTTTAATTATTATAAATATAATAATTATAATAATTATTAATATAATTTCGTCCACATACCATTCTAACTTCACAATTGGCATTTGTAATTGTCATGCTTTTTGGGCGGGAAAATCATATGTTGACTCCATGCCTTTTTAAATAAAGTATGGATGATAATCATAATTACATACAATTTGGTATATTTTCAATGATTTACTCTTATTTTAGTCATTTTCTTTTAATGTTTAATTACTCTCCGTCTTTCCATTCATGGAGTAATTTACCTTTGTATAATTGTATTACAACGTACTTCAATAATCACATTATTTTTGGATAGTTATTGGTTTTATATTTTGTACTTTGACTTCAATATGACTTCAATAATTACGTTAAATTTATTTAAGAATCAAAAGATTTCCTTTTTTTTAAGATTATTTTTATGTTTCTTAATGTTTTAAAAGTATTTCCTTTTTTAAAGGTAGACACGTCTCACCAATCACTTCCCTTAATAAAAACCTTTTATTTACTGCACACGAATTCTAAAAAAAATATGTAACAAATCTCGCAATTAAATTTCTTTCCATTACAAATATTTCTATAAATATTGTTAGACAAATTACTAATCGTTATTGTTAGACAAATTCCATAAAAATTTTCATCACTAATCGCTTCCCTTATTTAAAACCCTTTATTTAGTGCACTAAATAAATAATTTAGTGCACTAAACCCTTATTTAAAACCCTTTATTTAGTGCACTAAATAAATAATTTAGTGCACTAAACCCTTTATTTAGTGCACTAAATTCCATAAATAATTTTCATCTCTAATCGTCTCACATATAATTCTTTCTCCGGAATTTTAAGCAAATACAACTAAAGTTTATTATGGTAATTACATCTTCAAATACTTTTCGGTTATATGTTCTCATTTTCTTTAGTTACCTTTTATTATTACCATTTGTATAAATGGTTTTGTTTCATACGTTTTTAAATACAAAAATATATACAAAAATATAGGAGCTAAATTAAATAAAATTTCCATTTGTACCTTTTTTATACACATTTATATTAAATAAAGTTTTTATGGTAATTACACGGTTTTATTAAATAAACATTCGTTACGATTTTAATTACACAGTTATATTAAATTAACCTTAATAAAAACCCTTTATTTAATGCACACGAATTCTAAAAAAATATGTAACAAATCTCGCAATTAAATTTCTTTCCATTACAAATATTTCCATAAATATTGTTAGACAAATTACTAATCGTTATTGTTAGACAAATTCCATAAAAATTTTCATCACTAATCGTTTCCCTTATTTAAAACCCTTTATTTAGTTCACACATATTCTAAATGGTAACATATAATTCTTTCTCCGGAATTTTAAGCAAATACAACTAAAGTTTATTATGGTAATTACATCTTTAAATACCTTTTCTATTATATGTTCTCATTTTCTTTAGTTACCTTTTATTATTACCATTCGTATAAATAATTTTATTTCATACGTTTTTAAATACAAAAATATATACAAAAATATAGGAGCTAAATTAAATAAAATTTCCATTCGTACCTTTTTTATACACGTTTATATTAAATAAAGTTTTTTATGGTAATTACATGGTTTTATTAAATTAACATTCGTTACGATTTTAATTACACGGTTATATTAAATTACCATTTTTAGTTGAGATTACCATACACGGTTACGATTTTAATTACACGGTTACATTAAATACCATTTAGTAATTACCATATGTAGTTAAGAATTACCATATTTTATACATCATAAAATGAGCGGGAAAAGGCCAATGCAAATTCATGGCTTTTTAAATAATAGATAGATTACATGGTTTTATTAAATTAACATTCGTTACGATTTTAATTATACGGTTATATTAAATTACCATTTTTAGTTGAGATTACTATACACGGTTACGATTTTAATTACACGGTTACATTAAATACCATTTAGTAATTATCATATGTAGTTAAGAATTACCATATTTTATACACCATAAAATGAGCGGGAAAAGGCCAATGCAAATTCATGACTTTTTAAATAATAGATAGATAGTTCCACTGCAGTTGAGTAATGAGCATCAATGTCCTACTCCCCCGTCACCATTTTGATTACAAATTGAGAAGTACGAGATATAATCTCACGATTTTTGAAATCATTATCTTTACAAATTGGTACATCAATAAGAATAAAAATTATATATTAAAAAACTACGTCAAAACTTATACAAAACAAGAGTGACAAGAGTATTTTATTTTATTAAATAGTCAATGAAAACATGTAAAAAAACAAAAGTTATCGAGAGAAGAGAGAAAATAAAATTGTAAACAAAATTGGAACGGGAGGGAGTATCTTTTTTTCAAACTTACTCACAAATATTTTTAAGGTTTCAATGTGTTGCATGTATTTCTCCTCTAGTGAATTTCAAT